CAGGCCATTTGCAGACAGCTGGATTGAAAGAAGAACAGCCGGGATAGGAACCTCAAGCATAGGCTAAGCCTACTACACCATAGCACCGGCCCCTCTTCTGAGTTTTAGCAAAGTTTAGAGTCATGCATCATCCATTCCAGGAACATATAGACAATTCATCTACCCTAAAATTTCCTCCTGGATGTCCCCTTTGTAATTGAACACACTTCCACCCATCGTCTTTAGCAACCATAGATCTATTTTTATTCATACACTTTCTCTTTTGTGCTAAAATAGTAGTAGTAATAATGATAATAATAACGCTGATAATAATCTGAGTTTATTTTCAAATGTCAGATTCATTTTTATTGTGTGTCAATTATTACCTCTCTGACCTCCTAGAAAATTAGGTGCAAATTTTAGCACTGATCTATAGACACTCACTTCTTTTTTTTTTTTTTTTTTTTTTTTTTTTTTTTTTTTTTTTTTGACAGGCAGAGTTAGACAGAGAGAGAGAGACAGAGAGAAAGGTCTTCCTTCCCTTGGTTCACCCCACAAATGTCTGCTACGGCCGGAACTATGCCGATCCGAAGCCAGGAGCCAGGTGCCCTCTCCTGGTCTCCCATGAGGATGCAGAGCCCAAGCACTTGGGCCATCCTCCACTGCCTTCCCAGGCCACAGCAGAGAGCTGGACTGGAAGAGGAGCAACCGGGACTAGAACCCGGGGTGCCAGCACCACAGGTGGAGGATTAGCCTAGTGAGCCATGGCACCAGCAACACTCACTTCTAATCACCAAGGGAAAGAAAATTGTCATGTGAGATCAGGTTTCAAGCACTGACAGTTTTCCAGGAATAAATGGAATGGTTCTGCTTTATTCTTCCTCCTTCTTTACACTTTCACAAATTTTAAGATCTAATACTCAATTAGGAATTAGAATTGTATTAGCCATTTTGAATTCACTATATTTTGGATTTTTGAAATATAATTAACAATAAAACATATATTAGAGGTGTACAAGGTGATGATTTGACATATGTATACATTGTGAAATGATTAACAAAAGCTAATTAAGACATAGGTAACTTCAGATAGTTTCCACTTTCTTTATCCTTGTGTCGACAACACTTAAAATCTATGCTCTTAACACATCTCATTATGCAATATGGCATTCCTTTATGCTCCCTGTCCCTAGCAGTTACCATTCCACAATCTTTCTGTGATATTTTTGGATTCCACAAATAGGTGAGATCATATAGTAATTCTATTAATGTGTTTGGCTTATTCACTTAGCATAATGTTCCCCAGGTTTAACATTATTGTCACAGATAGCAGAATTTCTTTCTTGTTTAAGGCTAAAAAATAATACACTATGTGTGTGCACACATGTGCATATCTATCCATTCATCCACTATAGGATACTTAAATTGTTTCCATGCATTTACTATTGTGAATAATTGTGTGATGAACATAGGCATATAGATGTTGCTTCAAGATACTAATTCCAATGCCTTTGTCTATAAAATCATTAGTGGGATTACTGAATCGCATGGTAGTATGTTTGTAATTTTTTCAGGAATCTCCATTGTGTATCAGGTAACACCTGTACCAATTTCATTCACGTCTATTAGTGTTCAAGAGATACTGTTTCTGCAAATCCTTGCCAACACTTTATATCTTTTAAGCTTTTGATAATGACTATTTTAAAAGGTATGAACTGGGGATGGTATCACAGCTCAGTGGATTAAGCTGCTGCCTTCAACACTGGCATCCCATATGAGCACCAGTTTGAACCCCTGCTTCTCTACTTCCAATTGCGCTCCATGATAATGTGTCTTGGAAAGCAGGGAAGATGCCACAAATGATTGTAGCTCTCCCACCTATGTAGGAGATGTGGATGGATTTCAGGTTCCTTGCTTGGGCCAAACCTAGCTCTGGTAGTTGTGGCCATTTTGGGAGTGAACCAGTGAATGGAAGATCTCTGTCTCTCTGTCTCTCCCCTTCTCTGTAAAACTGTGTATCAAACAAATAAATAAATCGTTAAAAATATATGAAGTAATATCTCATCTTGGTTTTAATTTGCATATACATGATGATTAGAGATATTGATCATTCTTTTCATTACTCTATTCGCCATATGTTTATTGTCTGTAGTAAAATGTCTGTTTTTTGATCACCTGCAATTTTTAATTGGATTATGGGGTCTTATTTTTGCTATTAATGACTACTTAAAATATGAACCCCTTGGTCAGTACTGTGGTGCGGTGGGTTAGGCCACTGTTTGTAATGCCAGTATCCTATGTTAATGAACCAGATCAAGTCCTGGCTACTCTTCCTCCAACCCAGCTTCATGCTAATGTTCCTAGGAAGGCAATGGAAGATGGCCCAAGTGCTAGGAGGTGATCCAGCTCCAGCTACCCATGTGAGAGACCAAGATAGAGTTCCTGGCTCATGACTTCATCCTGTTCCAGACCGGGCTGTTGCAGCCATTTGGGGAGTGAACTAGCAGATAGAAAACTCTCTCTCCCTTCTCTCTCTTTCTCTCTCTCTCCTCTTTCCCTTCTTCTCCTCCTTCCTTTCCCTCTCCCTCTATTTTTCCCTTTCTCTCTCCCTCCCCTTTCTCTCACCTCTCTCATTGTCACTTTCTCTTTGAAATAAGTAGATTAATAAATCTTAAATATATATTAATCTCCTATATATTTTGGGTATTTCTGTAAAATATATGATCTGTAAGTATTTTCTACAATTCTGCAAGTTGTCTTTTCACTTTGTTAATTGTTTCATTTGCTCTGCTGAACTGTTTTAGTTTGATGTAGTCATACTTGTTTATTTTTGCTTATGTTTGCTTTGGGTGTAATAATCCAAAAGTCATTTCCAAGAACAATGACAAGGAAAGTTTCAACTGTGTTTTTCATGGGAGTTTTACAGTTTCAGGTCTTATGTTGAAATCTTTAGTTCACGTTAAAGTAATTATTTATGTGCAGCATAAAATAAACATCTAATATTCTTGTGCATATGGATATCCAGTTTTCCCAATATCATTTATTGTATAGATTTTCTATTCCCATTGAGTGTTCTTGGTGCCCATGTCAAAAATTAGTTGAATATGCATATATTTTTTGGTGTATTTTGGGGCTCTCTATTATAATCCATTTGCTTATGTGTCCAACTTTATTCTATAACTGTACTGTATTGATTACTAAGACTTTGAAATATGGTTCAAAATGCATAAGTGTGAATCCTCCATCTTTGTTCATCTTTTTTCAAGTTTGCTTTAGGATTTTAGGGTATATTGTCATGTAACTTTTAGAATTGATTGCTTTTTCTTGTACTCTGAAAAAAATATAATTCATATTTTAGTACTGATTAAATTAAAATCAGTAGATTGCCGTGCATAGTATGAATATTTTAACAATATTAATCATTCTAACTCATAAACTTTTTTTCTTTTTTCATTTGCTTTTCTCCAGTTTCTTTCATTAATATTTTGTGGTTTTCAATGTACAGATCTTTCAATTTCTTGGGTAAATTTATACATCAAGTTTTTTTTTTTGGTTTTGGATCAATTATATGTAGAATTGTTTTCTTAATTTCATTTTTTGTAACTTGTAAGACTTTAGAAATGAAGCTGATTTTGTATTCTTCAACATTGATTAACTTGTTCATTAGCTGTGGGAATGAGTGTGAGACTGTGTGTGTGTGTGTGTGTGTGTGTATTTGGGGGCCTATAGATAAGATTCTATAATCTAAAGATAAACTTTATTTCATTCTTTCTGATTTGGTTCTTTTATATGACTTGTCTAACTAATTGCTTTGGCTAGTGCTTTCTACTATTATGTTGTACAGAAGTGGTGATTGTGGGTACCTTTTCTGGATCCTGATCTTCAAAGAAAACTTTTAAGCTATTCACAGTTGAGGATCATATTAGCTGTGTGCTTGCCATATATGATACTTACTATGTTAACTTTAGAGTTGTCTTCTTATTTTGTTTTCTCATTCATATCAACATGATTGGAAATGATATTTGTTTATCATGTCAATCTTAAATTTGTTGAGTTGTTTTGTGTCTTTACAAATGATACAATATGGGAAATGTTCCATTTGTGCTTGAGAAAAATATAAATTTACATGCTAACTGGGACATTCTCTACAGTGTTTTCTTAGGTCTATTTGTTCTAAATTGTAAATTAAGTCCAGTATTTCCCTATTGACCTTTGTCTGGGTGAATGCTTGATGTGAAAGCAGGATATTGAAATCCCCTATTTTTTTATTTATTTCTATTTCTCCCTCTGTTCTATATTTGCTTTATGTATTTATATATTACGTGTTGTTTACAGAGATATTTATAATTGTTTTATACTTTTGGTGAATTAACATGTTTATCATTATATAGTGATCTTGCTTCTTATAACAACGAAATGTCTGGTTTACCTGACATACATATGACCACTCTTGCTTTCTTTTACTAGCAGTTTGCATGGAATGTACTTTTCCATCCCTTCACTTTCAGCCCATGTCTGTCCTTAAATTTGAGATTCATCTCTTCAAGGAATCACATCATTGGATTTTCTTTTTTTTAGTCAATTCAGCCACTTCATGTCTTCTTACCATTCACATTTAAAGTCATTTTGATAATTGGAATTCATTTTATAATTTTATTATTGCTTTTACAGTTTTGGAATTTGTTTCCTCATCTCTTTCTGTGTTTCTTTATCATTTACTGGTTTTTAAAGCTATATTGAATTCTTTTCTTTGGGTATATTGTATATCCACTACAGACTTTGTCCTGTGGTTATCATGCAGCGTAACATTACACTTTTTATGTTTAAAACTGTAGTTTTAGGTTAATTTAAATCATGTACAAAATTGTACACTTTATTATTGTCATTCCTTGCTTTTTATTAAACTTGGTAGGATATTCATTGACAAATTATTGTAGCTATGTTTATTTCTAGTACTTCCGTGTTTTTTTTAGCTTTTAAAATATCATCTTTATTATGACTATAAAAGTACAGATTGTGTGTGTTGTGTACATAATACTAGAAATGATATTAAAAATGACACCAACAATGTGTTGTTACTGTTTCTTTTACTTTGATCTCTTAAAGAAGGTAGTAACAGTATGTGGAAAATGCTTTACTGTATCATATCAATATACTGCAAGAAAGTATTTCACAATAATATAAAAGTAACCCACAGACTTAATTAAGTGAAGATCAAATGACCCAAATACTTTTCTTTCTCAGTTTTTCACAGCAATTGCTCAAAGTCCATTAGCTGGTTTTTCCAAGAAAGATTATTCCAATAATTTTGGGTTTTCAATCCGTGCAATGGTCCAGTTGGGCTTTACTCCTTGTGTAAATTCTCTCTGAAATTCATAGCTTGCACTAAGAAGTTGTTTAGTTTCCACATTCTGATCCCCCAACTTAACTTGGAATACACTGGCTCCACGTATAGTTTCATTGGGGACGTTGGCACTGGTTAGATACCAAAAGCACATCAGGATGTTAACAAACTTCCTTCCTTTCTCATCATAGTAAATGGAGATGTCTCCTGTTGATGTATATACAATTTCATCTATGTCAGCAGCAAGGGCACTTTTATGGTTATCAGGTAGAGAAGTAACCTTTTCTTTCAATACATGTAGCACCTCTTTGGCCACAAGTTCTTCCAAAAGATCAAATTTACACTGTGACAGCAACTTGGATACATAAGCAAAAGCCTCAGCCGAAGCGGACGGAGAGCGCCTGGAGACCCACGTGAGGCTGTTGCTGCCACTCCTGGTGAGTCCGCCCCATCCCGCGCCGCAGCACACAGCTCATCTACTTCCGTGTTTAACACTAGTGTTAAAATGATAATGTATCACAGTACTAATATTATATTGTGAATTTTACAATGAATTTACTTTTATGAGAGGTTTTAATTCTTTTACTTTTGTGCTGTTACTTGTAACCCTTTATCTCAATTTTAAGAACTCTCTATAATTTCTCATAAAGAGAAGCTTAATGGTGTTAGGCTCCCTCAGTATTCACTTTTTTTTTTCTTTTGGAATGCTTTTATTTCTCCTTCTTGTATTTAGAAATTTTATTTACTTGAAGGAGAGGCACATAGAGAGAAAGAGAAACAGAGAAATAGAGAGAAGATAAAGGTCTGTAATAGCTGGTGCTGGGCCATGCTGAAGTCACAGCCAGAAATCCATATGGATCTCTATTATGTCTGGCTAGAGCCAAGTACTTGGAACACTCAACTGCTGCCTTCCAAGGCTCATTAGTATGAGCCAGGATTGGAAGTAGTGTTGCCTGGACTAAACCAGCACTTTGATATGGGGTGCAAGAGTCCCAAATGTTGGCTCAGCCTGCTGGGACACAAAACTTGCCCTAGCTCTCGCCTTCATTTTTGAAGAACAACTTTGGTAGATATAATATTCTTTTTTGGCACTCTTTTTTTTTTTCTTTCACAACTTTAGAAATGTCTCTCAATCATGCCCAGACTACTGAATTTTCTCCTGATACATCTAGTAATAGTATATGTTATGAATCACTTTACTCTTGCTTTTTTTTTAAAACTCTCTTTTGACAATTTGATTATAATATGGTTTAGCAATAATACTGAGTTTTGCTTTTATTGTGGTACTTGTGTTAAATGAATCTGTATACATGAATCCCGACCACAATTTGTGGTGTTTCATTCAGTATTTCTTTAAATGAGCTTCCTACCTGTTATTCTCACTCGCTTCCTTCTCAGACTTACATGTTACACAAGCATTTCTCATGTGTCCACATTGGTCACTTCACTTTTTTTTCTTTCTTTAACTTTTATTTAGTAAATATAAATTTCCTAAGTACATTTTATGGATTACAATGGCTCCACCCGCATAACTTCCCTCAACTCGCACCCCTCCCATCTCCCACTCCCTCTCCCATTCGTTCACATCAAGATTCATTTTCAATTCTCTTTATATACAGAAGATCGTTTTAGTATATATTAAGTAAAGATTTCATCAGTTTGCACACACACAGAACATAAAGTGTAAAATACTGTTTGAGTACTAGTTATAGCATTACTTCAAAGTGGACAACACGTTAAGGACAGAGATCCCACATGAGGAGTAAGTACACAGTGACTCCTGTTGTTGACTTAACAATTTGACACTCTTGTTTATGGTGTCTGAAATCTCCCTAGGCTCTAGTCATGAGTTGCCAAGGCTATGGAAGCCTTTTGAGTTCGCCAACTTTGATCTTATTCTGACAGGATCATAGTCAAAGTGGAAGTTCTCTCCTCCCTTCAGAGAAAGGTACCTCCTTCTTTGATGACCCGTTCTTTCCACTGGGATCTCACTCGCAGAGATACTTCATTTATGGTTTGTTTTTGTTTGTTTGTTTGTTTTGTTTTGTTTTGCTTTGCCAGAGTGTCTTGGCTTTCCATGCCTAAAATACCCTCATGGGCCCTTCAGCCAGATTCACATGCCTTAAGGGCTGATTCTGAGGCCAGAGTGCTGTTTAGGACATCTGCCATTCTATGAGTCTGCTGTGTATCCCGCTTCCCATGTTGGATCGTTCTCTCCCTTTTTGATTCTATCAGTTAGTATTAGCAGACACTAGTCTTGTTTGTGTGATCCCTTTGACTCTTAGACCTATCAGTGTGATCAATTGTGAACTGAAATTGATCACTTGGACTAGTGAGATGGCATTGGTACATGCCACCTTGATGGGATTGTATTGGAATCCCCTGGCACATTTCTAACTCTACCATTTGGGGCAAGTCCAATTGAGCATGTCCCAAATTGTACATCTCCTCCCTCTCTTATTCCCACTCTTATATTTAACAGGGGTCACTTTTCAGTTAAAATTTAAACACCTAAGAATAATTGTGTGTTAATTACAGAGTTCCACCAAATAGTATTAACTAGAACAAAAAAAATACTAAAAGGAATAAGTATTAAATTGTACATCAACAGTCAGGACAAGGGCTGATCAAGTCACTGTTTCTTGTAGTGTCCATCTCACCTCAACAGGTTTCTTTTTGGTGCTTGGTTAGTTGTCACCAGCCAGGGAGAACATATGATATTTGTCCCTTTGGGACTGGCTTAATTCACTCAGCATGATGTTTTCCAGATTCCTCCATTTTGTTGCAAATGACCAGATTTCATTGTTTTTGACTGCTGTACAGTATTCTATAGAGTACATGTCCCATAATTTCTTGATCCAGTCAACTGTTGATGGGATTTGGGTTGATTCCAGGTCTTAGCTATTGTGAATTGAGCTGCAATAAACATTAAGGTGCAGGCTGCTTTTTTGTTTGCCAATTTAATTTCCTTTGGGTAAATTCCAAGGAGTGGGATGGCTGGGTTGTATGGTAGGGTTATATTCAGGTTTCTGAGGAATCTCCAGACTGACTTCCACAGTAGCCTAACCAGTTTGCATTCCCACCAACAGTGGGTTAGTGTCCCTTTTCTCCACATCCTCTCCAGCATCTGTTGTTCATAGATTTCTGAATGTGAGCCTTTCTCACCGGGCTGAGGTGAAACCTCATTGTGTTTTTGATTTGCATTTCCCTGATTGCTAGTGATCTTGAACATTTTTTCATGTGTCTGTTGGCCATTTGGATTTCCTCTTTTGAAAAATGTCTTTTGAGGTCCTTGGCCCATCTCTTAAGTGGGTTGTTTGTTTTGATGTTGTGGAGTTTCTTGATCTCTTTGTAGATTCTCGTTATTAACCCTTTATCTGTTGCATAGTTTGCAAATATATTTTCCCATTCTGTCGATTGCCTCTTCACTTTCATGACTGTTTCTTTTTTTTTTTTTTTTTTTGACAGGCGGAGTGGACAGTGAGAGAGAGAGACAGAGAGAAAGGTCTTCCTTTTTGCCGATGGTTCACCCTCCAATGGCCGCCGCGGCCGGCGCGCTGCGGCCGGCGCACCGCGCTGATCCGATGGCAGGAGCCAGGAGCCAGGTGCTTTTCCTGGTCTCCCATGGGGTGCAGGGCCCAAGCACCTGGGCCATCCTCCACTGCACTCCCTGGCCACAGCAGAGGGCTGGCCTGGAAGAGGGGCAACCGGGACAGAATCCGGCACCCCGACCGGGACTAGAACCCGGTGTGCCGGCGCCGCTAGGCGGAGGATTAGCCTAGTGAGCCGCGGCGCCGGCTTCATGACTGTTTCTTTTGCAGTACAGAAACTTCTCAATTTGGTGCAATCCCAATATTAATTTTGGCTTTGACTGCCTGTGCTTCTGGGGTCTTTTCCAAGAAGTCTTTGCCAGTACCAATATCTTGCAGGGTTTCTCCAATGTTCTCTAATAATTTGATGGTGTTGGGTTATAGATTTAAGTCTTTAATCTATGTTGAGTGGATTTTTGTGTATGATGAAAGGTAGGGGTCTTGCTTCATGCTTCTGCACGTGGAAATCCAATTTTCCCAGCACCATTTATTGAATAGACTGTCCTTACTCCAGGGATTGGTTTTGGATCCTTGATCAAAGATAAGTTGGCTGTAGATGTTTGGATTGATTTCTGGTGTTTCAATTCTGTTCCATTGGTCTATCCATCTGTTTCTGTACCAGTACCATGCTGTTTTGATTACAACTGCCCTGTAGTATGTCCTGAAATCTGTTATTGTGATGCCTCTGGCTTTGTTTTTGTTGTACAAGATTGCTTTAGCTATTCGAGGTCTCCTGTGCCTCCATATGAATTTCAGCATCATATTTTTCCAGATCTGAGAAGGTCTTCGGTATCTTGATTGGTATCGCATTGAACCTCTAAGTTGCTTTTGTGAGAATGGACATGTTGATAATATTGATTCTTCCAATCCATGAGCATGGAAGATTTTTCCATTTTTTGGTATCCTCTTCTATTTCTTTCTTTAAGGTTTTGTAATTTTCATCGTAGAGATCCTTAACGTCCTTGGTTCAGTTTATTTCAAGGTATGTGATTGTTTTTGTAGCTATTGTGAATGGGATTGATCTTAGAAGTTCTTTCTGAGCCGTGGCATTGCCTGTGTATACAAAGGCTGTTGATTTTTGTGCATTGATTTTATACCCTGCTACTTTGCCAAACTCTTCTATGAGTTCCAATAGTCTCTTAGTAGGGTTCTTTGGATCCCTTAAATAAAGAATCATATCATCTGCAAAGAGGGATAGTTTGAGTTCTTCCTTCCCAATTTGTATCCCTTTAATTTCTTTTACTTGCCCAATGGCTCTGGCAAAAACTTCCAGAACTATATTAAATAGCAGTCACTTCACTTTCAAAAAAAGTTTGGTATCTCTCACTGCCCAATTTTAAATGGCAATTGGAGGATTTGTTTGGTTATTTCATCTGCTTGACTGAGTCCTTTTGAAATGCTCTGTGTTTTGAGTTCTGTGTATTCCTCAGCTCTAGAGTTTCTATTTATGTGTTTTTTTCTGATGTCTTTCTGGTTGTCTGTGTTCGCATGCATCCCATTGAACTTCCTGAAGATGATTATTTTGAGTTGTTTGTCAGCCATTTTTAGATCTCTATTTTGAGTTTTTGTAGTTTTCTTATTTTTTTTAAACTTTTATTTAATGCATATAAATTTCCAAAGTACGACTTATGGATTACAATGGCTTCCCCCCGATACCGTCCCTCCCACCCACAACCCTCCCCTTTCCCACTCCCTCTCCCCTTCCATTCACATCAAGATTCATTTTTGATTATCTTAATATACAGAAGATCAGTTTAGTATACATTAAGTAAGGATTTCAACAGTTTGCTCCCACACAGAAACATAAAGTGAAAAATAATAGATGATTTTTTTAAATGATGATGAAATCAGAGCAGACCTATTGTCATGTTTAATCCCAGTGAGAGTCAAGTTGGGAATTGATAATTTCATATTTCCTTTTTTTTATTGTTTTTTTTTTTACAGAGGATCAGTTTAGTATGCATAAGTAAAGGATTTCAACAGTTGCACCCCCATAGAACACAAAGTGAAATATATTGTTTGAGTACTCGTTATAGCATTAAATCTCAATGTACAGCATATTAAGGATAGAGATCCTACATGAGGAGTAAGTGCACAGTGACTCCTGTTGTTGACTTTACCAATTGACACTCCTGTCTATGGCATCAGTAATCTCCCTATGCTCCAGTCATGAATTTCCAAGGCTATGGAAGCCCTCTGAGTTGTCCGACTCTTATCTTGTTTAGACAAGGTCATAGTCAAAGTGGAGGTTCTCTCCTCCCTTCAGAAAAAGGTACCTCCTTCTTTGAAGACCTGTTCTTTCCACTGAGATCTCACTCGCAGAGATCTTTTGCCAGAGTGTCTTGGCTTTCCATGCCTGAAATACTCTCATGAGCTTTTCAGCCAGCTCCGAATGCCTTTAGGGCTGATTCTGAGGCCAGAGTGCTATTTAGGACATCTGCCATTCTATGAGTCTGCTGAGTATCTCACTTCCCATGTTGGATCACTCTCCCCTTTATTTACTCCATCAGTTAGCGTTAGCAGGTACTAGACTTGTCTATGTGCTCCCTTTGACTCCCAGTCCCTTATTTTTTTTGGTGATGTCATGTTTGACTGATTAAGATCTATGTAACCTTGCTGTGTTTTCCTATAACCTTGCAGTGCTCTCAGTGAACCAACCCTTCTTCCATTCTTCATAGGCAGTATTGAACACCTAAAAATCCTATCTTGTCAGGACCCAGGACTGGCATTTCTGTTGTGTGTGCTTGGAGCAGGGTCACATGACTGATTCTGGGCCTGCAGTGGTATCTCTGGCTGTTAATCAGGGCATTGGGCTGGTATGCATTTTTCTCTGGTC